AGAGACACAGACAGAGGCAGAGACAGAGGCAGAAACAGAGGCAGAGGCAGAGACAGAGACAGAGACAGAGACAGGACAGAGGCAGAGACAGAGGCAGAGCCAGAGGCAGAGACAGAGGCAGAGACACAGACAGAGGCAGAGACAGAGGCAGAGGCAGAGACAGAGACAGAGACAGAGACAGAGACAGAGACAGAGACAGAGGCAGAGACAGAGGCAGAGCCAGAGGCAGAGACAGAGGCAGAGACACAGACAGAGGCAGAGACAGAGACAGAGGCAGAGACAGAGACAGAGACAGAGACAGAGACAGAGACAGAGGCAGAGACAGAGGCAGAGCCAGAGGCAGAGACAGAGACAGAGACAGAGGCAGAGCCAGAGGCAGAGACAGAGACAGAGGCAGAGGCAGAGACAGAGACAGGACAGAGGCAGAGACAGAGGCAGAGCCAGAGGCAGAGACAGAGACAGAGACACAGACAGAGACAGAGGCAGAGACACAGACAGAGACAGAGACAGAGACAGAGACAGAGACAGAGACAGAGGCAGAGGCAGAGACAGAGACAGAGACAGAGGCAGAGGCAGAGACAGAGACAGAGGCAGAGACAGAGACAGAGGCAGAGGCAGAGACAGAGACAGAGACAGAGGCAGAGACAGAGACAGAGGCAGAGACAGAGACAGAGGCAGAGACAGAGACAGAGGCAGAGACAGAGACAGAGGCAGAGACAGAGGCAGAGACAGAGGCAGAGGCAGAGACAGAGACAGAGACAGAGGCAGAGGCAGAGACAGAGACAGAGACAGAGACAGAGACAGAGGCAGAGGCAGAGACAGAGACAGAGACAGAGGCAGAGACAGAGACAGAGGCAGAGACAGAGACAGAGGCAGAGACAGAGACAGAGGCAGAGACAGAGACAGAGGCAGAGACAGAGACAGAGGCAGAGACAGAGACAGAGGCAGAGACAGAGACAGAGGCAGAGACAGAGGCAGAGACAGAGACAGAGACAGAGGCAGAGACAGAGACAGAGACAGAGACAGAGACAGAGGCAGAGGCAGACACAGAGACAGAGGCAGAGGCAGAGACAGAGACAGAGACAGAGGCAGAGACAGAGACAGAGGCAGAGACAGAGACAGAGGCAGAGACAGAGACAGAGGCAGAGGCAGAGGCAGAGGCAGAGACAGAGACAGAGGCAGAGACAGAGACAGAGACAGAGACAGAGGCAGAGGCAGACACAGAGACAGAGGCAGAGGCAGAGACAGAGACAGAGACAGAGGCAGAGACAGAGACAGAGGCAGAGACAGAGACAGAGGCAGAGACAGAGACAGAGGCAGAGACAGAGACAGAGGCAGAGACAGAGACAGAGACAGAGACAGAGACAGAGACAGAGACAGAGGCAGAGACAGAGACAGAGACACAGACAGAGACAGAGGCAGAGACACAGACAGAGGCAGAGACAGAGACAGAGACAGAGACAGAGACAGAGACAGAGGCAGAGACAGAGGCAGAGGCAGAGGCAGAGACAGAGACAGAGACAGAGGCAGAGACAGAGACAGAGACAGAGACAGAGACAGAGGCAGAGGCAGACACAGAGACAGAGGCAGAGGCAGAGACAGAGACAGAGAGAGAGCAGAGACAGAGACAGAGGCAGAGACAGAGACAGAGGCAGAGACAGAGACAGAGGCAGAGACAGAGACAGAGGCAGAGACAGAGACAGAGACAGAGACAGAGGCAGAGACAGAGACAGAGACAGAGACAGAGACAGAGGCAGAGACAGAGGCAGAGGCAGAGGCAGAGACAGAGACAGAGCAGAGACAGAGACAGAGGCAGAGACAGAGACAGAGACAGAGCAGCACAGCCAGAGGCAGAGACAGAGACAGAGACAGAGGCAGAGCAGAGGCAGAGACAGAGACAGAGGCAGAGGCAGAGACAGAGACAGAGACAGAGGCAGAGACACAGACAGAGGCAGAGGCAGAGACAGAGGCAGAGACAGAGCAGAGGCAGAGGCAGAGGCAGAGGCAGAGGCAGAGACAGAGGCAGAGACAGAGACAGAGACAGAGACAGAGGCAGAGGCAGAGGCAGAGCAGAGACAGAGACAGGACAGAGACAGAGGCAGAGACAGGAAAGAGAGCAGAGACAGAGGCAGAGGCAGAGACAGAGGCAGAGGCAGAGGCAGAGACAGGACAGAGGCAGAGACAGAGACAGAGACAGAGGCAGAGGCAGAGGCAGAGACAGAGACAGAGGCAGAGACAGAGACAGAGCAGAGACAGAGACAGAGACAGAGCAGACAGAGACAGAGACAGAGGCAGAGGCAGAGACAGAGACAGAGACAGAGGCAGAGAGCAGAGACAGAGACAGAGGCAGAGACAGAGACAGGAAAGAGGCAGAGACAGAGGCAGAGACAGAGACAGAGACAGAGACAGAGACAGAGGCAGAGGCAGAGGCAGAGGCAGAGACAGAGGCAGAGACAGAGACAGAGACAGAGGCAGAGACAGAGGCAGAGACAGAGGCAGAGACAGAGACAGAGGCAGAGACAGAGACAGAGGCAGAGGCAGAGGCAGAGACAGAGACAGAGACAGAGGCAGAGACAGAGACAGAGACAGAGACAGAGACAGAGGCAGAGGCAGACACAGAGACAGAGGCAGAGGCAGAGACAGAGACAGAGACAGAGAGACAGAGGCAGAGACAGAGACAGAGACAGAGACAGAGACAGAGGCAGAGGCAGAGACAGAGACAGAGACAGAGACAGAGGCAGAGGCAGACACAGAGACAGAGACAGAGGCAGAGACAGAGGCAGAGGCAGAGGCAGAGACAGAGACAGAGACAGAGGCAGAGACAGAGACAGAGACAGAGACAGAGACAGAGGCAGAGGCAGACACAGAGACAGAGGCAGAGGCAGAGACAGAGACAGAGAGAGAGGCAGAGACAGAGACAGAGGCAGAGACAGAGACAGAGGCAGAGACAGAGACAGAGGCAGAGACAGAGACAGAGGCAGAGACAGAGACAGAGACAGAGACAGAGACAGAGACAGAGACAGAGACAGAGACAGAGACAGAGGCAGAGACAGAGGCAGAGGCAGAGGCAGAGACAGAGACAGAGGCAGAGACAGAGACAGAGGCAGAGACAGAGACAGAGACAGAGGCAGAGCCAGAGGCAGAGACAGAGACAGAGACAGAGCAGAGCCAGAGCAGAGACAGAGACAGAGGCAGAGGCAGAGACAGAGACAGAGACAGAGGCAGAGACACAGACAGAGGCAGAGCAGAGCAGAGACAGAGGCAGAGACAGAGGCAGAGGCAGAGGCAGAGCAGAGCAGAGACAGAGGCAGAGACAGAGACAGAGACAGAGACAGAGGCAGAGGCAGAGGCAGAGACAGCAGACAGGACAGAGACAGAGGCAGAGACAGGAAAGAGGCAGAGACAGAGGCAGAGGCAGAGACAGAGGCAGAGGCAGAGGCAGAGACAGGACAGAGGCAGAGACAGAGACAGAGGCAGAGGCAGAGGCAGAGACAGAGACAGAGGCAGAGACAGAGACAGAGGCAGAGACAGAGACAGAGACAGAGACAGAGACAGAGACAGAGACAGAGGCAGAGGCAGAGACAGAGACAGAGACAGAGGCAGAGGCAGAGACAGAGACAGAGGCAGAGACAGAGACAGGAAAGAGGCAGAGACAGAGGCAGAGACAGAGACAGAGACAGAGACAGAGACAGAGGCAGAGGCAGAGGCAGAGGCAGAGACAGAGGCAGAGACAGAGACAGAGACAGAGGCAGAGACAGAGGCAGAGACAGAGACAGAGGCAGAGACAGAGGCAGAGACAGAGGCAGAGGCAGAGGCAGAGGCAGAGGCAGAGGCAGAGGCAGAGGCAGAGGCAGAGGCAGAGGCAGAGGCAGAGGCAGAGACAGAGGCAGAGGCAGAGACAGAGGCAGAGGCAGAGACAGAGGCAGAGACAGAGCCAGAGGCAGAGGCAGAGACAGAGACAGAGACAGAGGCAGAGGCAGAGACAGAGACAGAGACAGAGGCAGAGACACAGACAGAGGCAGAGACAGAGGCAGAGGCAGAGACAGAGACAGAGACAGAGACAGAGGCAGAGGCAGAGGCAGAGGCAGAGACAGAGACAGAGACAGGACAGAGACAGAGGCAGAGACAGGAAAGAGGCAGAGACAGAGGCAGAGGCAGAGACAGAGGCAGAGGCAGAGGCAGAGACAGAGACAGAGGCAGAGACAGAGGCAGAGGCAGAGACAGAGACTGAGGCAGAGACAGAGACAGAGACAGAGGCAGAGACAGAGACAGAGGCAGAGACAGAGACAGAGGCAGAGACAGAGACAGAGGCAGAGACAGAGACAGAGGCAGAGACAAAGACAGAGGCAGAGGCAGAGGCAGAGACAGAGACAGAGGCAGAGACAGAGACAGAGGCAGAGACAGAGGCAGAGACAGAGGCAGAGACAGAGGCAGAGGCAGAGGCAGAGACAGAGACAGAGGCAGAGACAGAGGCAGAGACAGAGACAGAGGCAGAGACAGAGACAGAGGCAGAGGCAGAGACAGAGGCAGAGACAGAGACAGAGGCAGAGACAGAGGCAGAGGCAGAGGCAGGGGCAGAGGCAGAGACAGAGGCAGAGACAGAGACAGAGACAGAGACAGAGGCAGAGGCAGAGACAGAGACAGAGACAGACAGAGACAGAGGGACAGAGGCAGAGGCAGAGACAGAGACAGAGACAGAGACAAGGACAGAGGCAGAGACAGAGACAGAGACAGAGACAGAGACAGAGGCAGAGGCAGAGACAGAGACAGAGACAGAGACAGAGACAGAGACAGAGACAGAGACAGAGACAGAGGCAGAGACAGAGACAGAGACAGAGACAGAGACAGAGGCAGAGGCAGAGACAGAGACAGAGACAGAGACAGAGGCAGAGGCAGAGACAGAGACAGAGACAAGGACAGAGGCAGAGACAGAGACAGAGACAAGGACAGAGGCAGAGACAGAGACAGAGAACATAAAGTTCATGTGTTAAAGCTCAGACCTTGTTCTGTTTGAGCGCGCTCTTCTCCTTCATGTGAGGACAGTCTTTTCCCGTCACCACAGACTTCACGTCCGACACTGGGACTGAGGGAAGAGACTTTATTCAGAGGAGCCAGATGTGTGTGTGTGTGTGTGTATATGTATACGTATGTGTTTGTGTGTATGTATGGGTGCGTGTGCGTGTATGTATGTGTGCGTGTGTGTGTATGTGTGTGTATATGTATACGTATGTGTTTGTGTGTGTATGTATGGGTGCGTGTGTGTGTATGTGTGTGTGTATATGTATACGTATGTGTGTATGTATGCATGCGTGTGCGTGTGTTTGTATATGTGTGTGTCTGTGTTTGTGTTTGTACATGTGTGTGTATGTGTTTGTATATGTGTGTGTGTGTTTGTACATGTGTGTGTATGTGTTTGTATATGTGTATGTGTGTTTGTACATGTGTGTGTATGTGTTTGTATATGTGTTTGTATATGTGTATGTGTGTTTGTACATGTATGTTTGTATATGTGTGTATGTGTTTGTATATGTGTATGTGTGTTTGTACATGTATGTTTGTATATGTGTGTGTGTGTGTGTTTGTACATGTGTGTGTATGTGTTTGTATATGTGTGTGTGTGTTTGTACATGTGTGTGTATGTGTTTGTATATGTGTATGTGTGTTTGTACATGTGTGTGTGTATGTTTGTATATGTGTGTGTGTGTGTGTGTTTTTACTCTTGTCGCTGAGCAGCTCGAATGGCACCTCCCCCTGAGGAGACTCGTCCAGGTCTCCGTAGTGCAGCATTTTGTGGTTGAGGGAAAGACGACAGAACCAGAACTTCTCTGAAACACAATCAGGAACGGCCAGTTTATTTGTATCGCACAGTTTATATAAGATATTTATAGTTGCAATTAACAATTATGTTTGATTAGATCCTGAAAGGTCAATATGCAATTTTTTAAAGAGATCAGTTATTTGTCTCACAGTGGGGAAATTTCAGTGTTGCATCACAGGATACAGAAGAGTAGGAATGAGGAGCACAAACAAAATAAGATAAGTGAGTCCTGGGTCTACAGCCTCAGTCCTGGGTCTACAGCCTCAGTCCTGGGTCTACAGCCTCAGTCCTGGGTCTACAGCCTCAGTCCTGGGTCTACAGCCTCAGTCCTGGGTCTACAGCCGCGGTCCTGGGTCTACAGCCTCAGTCCTGGATCTACAGCCTCAGTCCTAGATCTACAGCCTCAGTCCTGGATCTACAGCCTCAGTCCTGGATCTACAGCCTCAGTCCTGGATCTACAGCCTCAGTCCTGGATCTACAGCCTGAGTCCTGGATCTACAGCCTCAGTCCTGGATCTACAGCCTGAGTCCTGGATCTGCAGCCTCAATCCATCCATGGGCGATACAAAAATACATTGAATTGAAGATGAAGTAAGAATGATATATATTTTTAAACAATTATAGCCAGGTTTGGAAACATCGACTGTATAGGAAAGGTCGGTTCAACAGTTTTTTGCATGTTCTCCCTGTGCATTTACCTTGTCGTCTCCGGTTTCCCAGCTTCCTGAAGCAGCTGCCTTCACACAGACGGTTCAGTCGCTGTTGCTTGATCAGCTCCAGGATCTCAGGTTGGATCCTCTCACGCAACTCACTGAAAAACATTATGTTATGTGTGTTTCTTTAGACCAGGAAGTGAGAAAAGCTGCCGGGATTGGAAAGGATTGTGGTCCTACATGATCGGAGGGGACTGGAAGTCGTCCTGGCTCATGCGCTCGGACTGACGCAGACGCAGGATTTCGGAATAGTTCAAAGCCCGGAGTTTGTTTTTGAGTTGATCCAGAGACGACGGCTTCATGGCCAGAGCCCGAGTGATCTGCTCCCGCACCACCTGCATCACCTGCAGCCAGACCAGACCCAAGACCTGGTTCAGTGCTGGTTCAGTGCTGGTTCAGTCCTGGTTCAGTCCTGGTTCAGTCCTGGTTCAGTCCTGGTTCAGTCCTGGTTCAGTCCTGGTTCAGTCCTGGTTCAGTCCTGGTTCAGTCCAGACCCGCTTTAGACCCAGTCCCGCTTCAGTCCCGCTTCAGTCCCGCTTCAGTCCCGCTTCAGTCCCGCTTCAGTCCCGCTTCAGTCCCGCTTCATTCAGTCCCGCTTCAGTCCCGCTTCATTCAGTCCCGCTTCAGTCCCGCTTCAGTCCCGCTTCAGTCCCGCTTCAGTCCCGCTTCAGTCCCGCTTCAGTCCCGCTTCAGTCCCGCTTCAGTCCCGCTTCAGTCAGTCCCGCTTCAGTCCCGCTTCAGTCCCGCTTCAGTCCCGCTTCAGTCAGTCCAGTCTCTCCCCTCTCCCCTCCCCTCTCCTCTCCTCTCTCTCTCCCCTCTTCTTTCTCCTCTCCTCTCCTCTTGTCTCCTCTCCCCTCTCCCCTCCTCTCCTCTCCTCTCCTCTCGTCTCCTCTCCTCTCTCCTCCTCCCCTCCTCTCCTCTCCTCTCCTCTCCTCTCGTCTCTTCTCCTCTCCTCTCCTCTCTTCTCCTCCCCTCTCCTCTCCTCTCTTCTCCTCTCCTCTCCTCTCCTCTCCTCTCCTCTCCTCTCTTCTCCTCTCCTCTCCTCTCCTCTCCCCTCTCCCCTCCCCTCTCCTCTCCTCTCCTCTCCCCTCTTCTTTCTCCTCTCCTCTCCTCTTGTCTCCTCTCCCCTCTCCCCTCCTCTCCTCTCCTCTCCTCTCGTCTCTCCTCTCCTCTCTCCTCTCCTCTCCTCTCCTCTTCTCTCCTTTCCTCTCCTTTTAAAGAAGGAGGAAGCAGAGCAACAGACAGAGGGGAGGAGGTCTGAGGGGAGGAGGTCTGCTGGAGAGACAGGGGTGAGAGCGTACGAGGAGAGGAGAGAGAGGGAGGAGAGAGAGAGGAGAGAGAGGGGAGGGAGAGGAGAGAGAGAGGAGGGGAGAGAGAAGAGAGAGAGGAGGGAGAGAAGAGAGAGAGGAGAGAGGAGAGAGAGAGGAGAGGAGAGAGAGGAGAGAGAGGAGAGGAGAGAAGAGAGAGAGAGAAGAGGGGAGGGGAGAGAGGAGAGAGAGGGGAGGGGAGAGAGAGGAGAGAGAGGAGAGGAGAGAAGAGAGAGAGAGGAGAGGGGAGGGGAGAGAGGAGAGAGAGAGGAGAGATACAACTCTTTCTCTGTCTCTCACTCCTCTCACCTCTATCCACAGGTGTCACAGATCCACAGGTGTCATAGATCCACAGGTGTCACAGATCCACAGGTGTCATAGATCCACAGGTGTCACAGATCCACAGGTGTCACAGATCCACAGGTGTCACAGATCCACAGGTGTCATAGATCCACAGGTGTCACAGATCCACAGGTGTCACAGATCCACAGGTGTCACAGATCCACAGGTGTCATAGATCCACAGGTGTCACAGATCCACAGGTGTCACAGATCCACAGGTGTCATAGATCCACAGGTGTCACAGATCCACAGGTGTCATAGATCCACAGGTGTCACAGATCCACAGGTGTCATAGATCCACAGGTGTCATAGATCCACAGGTGTCATAGATCCACAGGTGTCACAGATCCACAGGTGTCATAGATCCACAGGTGTCATAGATCGTCTGGTCCTCCCGGTTCTGTGCAGTGGAAGAGCTCCCATGATGCTTTGCGGCAAATACGCGTGTGTGGCTCTTTGTGGCTCTCATACACGTGCACAGAGGGGCTCGGCCACGCTCTGACCAATCAGAGGGCAGCGTTCTGACCAATCAGAGCAGAGTTAGAGCGAGAGCCAGACGAGCAGAGTTTGTGGCACTAAAGTGTGGATTTAAACAAAACCGAAGGATTTAAGAAGAAAAAAAGTTCAGGACGACAAGGGACACTAAAATCCCCACAAAATACTATCTTTATTAAAGCTGTAGGTTCTCTGTCAGGTTCTCTGTCAGGTTCTCTGCAGGTTCTCTGTCAGGTTCTCTGTAGGTTCTCTGTCAGGTTCTCTGTAGGTTCTCTGTCAGGTTCTCTGTCAGGTTCTCTGTCAGGTTCTCTGTCAGGTTCTCTGTCAGGTTCTCTGTCAGGTTCTCTGTCAGGTTCTCTGCAGGTTCTCTGTCAGGTTCTCTGTAGGTTCTCTGTCAGGTTCTCTGTAGGTTCTCTGTCAGGTTCTCTGTCAGGTTCTCTGTCAGGTTCTCTGTCAGGTTCTCTGTCAGGTTCTCTGTCAGGTTCTCTGTCAGGTTCTCTGCAGGTTCTCTGCAGGTTCTCTGTCAGGTTCTCTGTCAGGTTCTCTGTCAGGTTCTCTGTCAGGTACTGTGTCAGGTTCTCTGTCAGGTTCTCTGTCAGGTTCTCTGTCAGGTTCTCTGTCAGGTTCTCTGTCAGGTTCTCTGTCAGGTTCTGTGTCAGGTTCTGTGTCAGGTTCTGTGTCAGGTTCTCTGTCAGGTTCTCTGTCAGGTTCTGTGTCAGGTTCTGTGTCAGGTTCTCTGTCAGGTTCTCTGTCAGGTTCGTTGTCAGGTTCTCTGTCTGGTTCTCTGTCAGGTTCTCTGTCAGGTTCTCAGTCAGGTTCTCTGTCAGGTTCTGTGTCAGGTTCTCTGTCAGGTTCTCTGTCAGGTTCTCTGTCAGGTTCTGTGTCAGGTTCTGTGTCAGGTTCTGTGTCAGGTTCTGTGTCAGGTTCTCTGTCAGGTTCTCTGTCAGGTTCTCTGTCAGGTTCTGTGTCAGGTTCTCTGTCAGGTTCTCTGTCAGGTTCTCTGTCAGGTTCTCTGTCAGGTTCTGTGTCAGGGTCTGTGTCAGGTTCTCTGTCAGGTTCTCTGTCAGGTTCTGTGTCAGGTTCTGTGTCAGGTTCTGTGTCAGGTTCTCTGTCAGGTTCTCTGTCAGGTTCTCTGTCAGGTTCTGTGTCAGGTTCTCTGTCAGGTTCTCTGTCAGGTTCTCTGTCAGGTTCTCTGTCAGGTTCTCTGTCAGGTTCGTTGTCAGGTTCTCTGTCAGGTTCTCTGTCAGGTTCTCTGTCAGGTTCTCTGTCAGGTTCTCTGTCAGGTTCTCTGTCAGGTTCTCTGTCAGGTTCTCTGTCAGGTTCTCTGTCAGGTTCTCTGTCAGGTTCTGTGTCAAGTTCTGTGTCAGGTTCTCTGTCAGGTTCTCTGTCAGGTTCTCTGTCAGGTTCGTTGTCAGGTTCGTTGTCAGGTTCTCTGTCAGGTTCTCTGTCAGGTTCTCTGTCAGGTTCTCTGTCAGGTTCTCTGTCAGGTTCGTTGTCAGGTTCTCTGTCAGGTTCTCTGTCAGGTTCTCTGTCAGGTTCTCTGTCAGGTTCTCTGTCAGGTTCTCTGTCAGGTTCTCTGTCAGGTTCTCTGTCAGGTTCTCTGTCAGGTTCGTTGTCAGGTTCTCTGTCAGGTTCTCTGTCAGGTTCTCTGTCAGGTTCTGTGTCAGGTTCTCAGTCAGGTTCTCTGTCAGGTTCTCTGTCAGGTTCTCTGTCAGGTTCTCTGTCAGGTTCTCCGTCAGGTTCTCCGTCAGGTTCTCCGTCAGGTTCGTTGTCAGGTTCTCTGTAAGGTTCTCTGTCAGGTTCTCTGTCAGGTTCTCTGTCAGGTTCTCAGTCAGGTTCTCTGTCAGGTTCTGTGTCAGGTTCTCACTCAGGTTCTCTGTCAGGTTCTCTGTCAGGTTCTCTGTCAGGTTCTCTGTCAGGTTCTGTGTCAGGTTCTCTGTCAGGTTCTCTGTCAGGTTCTCTGTCAGGTTCTGTGTCAGGTTCTGTGTCAGGTTCTGTGTCAGGTTCTGTGTCAGGTTCTCTGTCAGGTTCTCTGTCAGGTTCTCTGTCAGGTTCTGTGTCAGGTTCTCTGTCAGGTTCTCTGTCAGGTTCTCTGTCAGGTTCTCTGTCAGGTTCTGTGTCAGGTTCTGTGTCAGGTTCTCTGTCAGGTTCTCTGTCAGGTTCTGTGTCAGGTTCTGTGTCAGGTTCTCTGTCAGGTTCTCTGTCAGGTTCTGTGTCAGGTTCTGTGTCAGGTTCTCTGTCAGGTTCTCTGTCAGGTTCTCTGTCAGGTTCTCTGTCAGGTTCGTTGTCAGGTTCTCTGTCAGGTTCTCTGTCAGGTTCTCTGTCAGGTTCTCTGTCAGGTTCTCTGTCAGGTTCTCTGTCAGGTTCTCTGTCAGGTTCGTTGTCAGGTTCTCTGTCAGGTTCTCTGTCAGGTTCTCTGTCAGGTTCTCTGTCAGGTTCTCTGTCAGGTTCTGTGTCAGGTTCTGTGTCAGGTTCTGTGTCAGGTTCTCTGTCAGGTTCTCTGTCAGGTTCTCTGTCAGGTTCGTTGTCAGGTTCTCTGTCAGGTTCTCTGTCAGGTTCTCTGTCAGGTTCTCTGTCAGGTTCGTTGTCAGGTTCTCTGTCAGGTTCTCTGTCAGGTTCTCTGTCAGGTTCTCTGTCAGGTTCTCTGTCAGGTTCGTTGTCAGGTTCTCTGTCAGGTTCTCTGTCAGGTTCTCTGTCAGGTTCTCTGTCAGGTTCTCTGTCAGGTTCTGTGTCAGGTTCTCAGTCAGGTTCTCTGTCAGGTTCTCTGTCAGGTTCTCTGTCAGGTTCTCTGTCAGGTTCTCCGTCAGGTTCTCCGTCAGGTTCTCCGTCAGGTTCGTTGTCAGGTTCTCTGTAAGGTTCTCTGTCAGGTTCTCTGTCAGGTTCTCTGTCAGGTTCTCAGTCAGGTTCTCTGTCAGGTTCTGTGTCAGGTTCTCACTCAGGTTCTCTGTCAGGTTCTCTGTCAGGTTCTCTGTCAGGTTCTCTGTCAGGTTCTGTGTCAGGTTCTCTGTCAGGTTCTCTGTCAGGTTCTCTGTCAGGTTCTCTGTCAGGTTCTCTGTCAGGTTCTCTGTCAGGTTCTGTGTCAGGTTCTCTGTCAGGTTCTCTGTCAGGTTCTCTGTCAGGTTCTGTGTCAGGTTCTCTGTCAGGTTCTCTGCAGGTTCTCTGTCAGGTTCTCTGTCAGGTTCTGTGTCAGGTTCTCTGTCAGGTTCTCTGTAGGTTCTCTGTCAGGTTCTCTGTCAGGTTCTCTGTCAGGTTCTCTGTCAGGTTCTCTGTCAGGTTCTCTGTCAGGTTCTCTGTAGGTTCTCTGTCAGGTTCTCTGTCAGGTTCTCTGTCAGGTTCTGTGTCAGGTTCTCTGTCAGGTTCTCTGTCAGGTTCTGTGCCAGGTTCTCTGTCAGGTTCTCTGTCAGGTTCTGTGTCAGGTTCTCTGTCAGGTTCTGTGTCAGGTTCTCTGTCAGGTTCTCTGTCAGGTTCTCTGTCAGGTTCTCTGTCAGGTTCTCTGTCAGGTTCTCTGCAGGTTCTCTGTCAGGTTCTCTGTCAGGTTCTCTGTCAGGTTCTCTGTCAGGTTCTCCGTCAGGTTCTCCGTCAGGTTCTGTGTCAGGTTCTCCGTCAGGTTCTCCGTCAGGTTCTCTGTCAGGTTCTCTGTCAGGTTCTCTGTCAGGTTCTCTGTCAGGTTCTCTGTCAGGTTCTCTGTCAGGTTCTGTGTCAGGTTCTCTGTCAGGTTCTCTGTCAGGTTCTCTGTCAGCTTCTCTGTCAGCTTCTCTGTCAGGTTCTCTGTCAGGTTCTCTGTCAGGTTCTCTGTCAGCTTCTCTGTCAGGTTCTCTGTCAGGTTCTCTGTCAGGTTCTCTGTCAGCTTCTCTGTCAGGTTCTCTGTCAGGTTCTCTGTCAGGTTCTCTGTCAGGTTCTCTGTCAGGTTCTATGGGGAACATTTCTGGGCAGCTCTCGTGAATTTAGGCTGAGTTTACTCGGAGACAATGTGGCAGTAAAACGGTATAGTTGGATGTCTGTTTCTACCAACCGTGTACACGGAGACTGTTCCAGGTGAAAACGTAAGTGTTCAGATCCAGCCTCAGAATGGGACAACTGACCCCCACCTCCTGCTGCTCTGACCCCCACCTCCTGCTGCTCTGACCCCCACCTCCTGCTGCTCCCGCACGTACATTTGGACATGTGCAGTATCGGAGAACAAACATCAACAACAATGGCGGCGGTCGCACTAACTAGCTTCGTGGGCTTCGAGCACAGCACAGAGGATAATTCTACTCCTTCGTTCGTCCAAACGAGACCACGCGAAGCTCTAGGTTCAGTTCCCATTTTCACAGCTGCTGTTAAAATGCAGAATGATGTTGGTCCTTTCTGAGGGTCTGGCACAGGAAGTGAGTATACTGCCGAGAGGGGGGGCTGGGCACGGGGCTGGGGGTCGTGTGAGTGTTGTAAAGTTTCTCTGCCCACTACTGGCCGGGCGCTAGAACTACATCGTTTTTCAACCTCATGTGAACGCTGAGAAATTTGCATTAGGAGCCAGGTCGTTTCTGTTAATAGCCTGGAAACGTCTGCGCAGCGTCTCAGTATAAACAGGGCCTCAGTCTGGTTTAGTCTGGTTTAGTCTGGTTTAGTCTGGTTTAGTCTGGTTCAGTCTGGTTTAGTCTGCAGTACCACAAGAATCCCCAGAGCACATGGTTCTTCAGGTCCAAGCTAGTAATACACTATCCAGTTATTATAATAGATCCATGATGCTAACGTACATGGTGCTAACGTACATGGTGCTAACGTACATGGTGCTAACGTACATGGTGCTAACGTACATGGTGCTAACCTACATGGTGCTAACGTACATGATGCTAACGTACATGGTGCTAACCTACATGGTGCTAACGTACATGATGCTAACGTACATGGTGCTAACGTACATGGTGCTAACGTACATGGTGCTAACGTACATGGTGCTAACGTACATGGTGCTAACGTACATGGTGCTAACGTACATGGTGCTAACCTACATGGTGCTAACACCAGCGTCAGCAGATCCTGAGGCCACAGAACATTTACATCTAAATTTCGATGACATCGTCCTGAAGCCTTGGTATGGATCAGCCTGGACCGGTCCATCACCGGGACACTGGGGGGGAGGCTGAGGGGGGAGAGGGGGGAGAGGGGGGAGAGGGGGGAGAGGGGGAGGTGCTGACAGCCTGAAGATTGAACCTGTCGATAGTCCCTGTGGATCTGAGTCAGTACCTGTAAATCTGACACACTGACACAGGAGGGGCCCTGAGAGCACAGGGACTGTGAGGGAGAGCACAGGGACTGTGAGGGAGAGCACAGGGCCGTGAGTGAGAGCACAGGGCTGTGAGGGAGAGCACAGGGACTGTGAGTGAGAGCACAGGACTGTGAGGGAGAGCACAGGGACTGTGAGTGAGAGCACAGGGACTGTGAGGGAGAGCACAGGGCTGTGAGGGAGAGTACAGGGACTGTGAGGGAGAGCACAGGGACTGTGAGTGAGAGCACAGGGACTGTGAGGGAGAGCACAGGGACTGTGAGTGAGAGCACAGGACTGTGAGGGAGAGCACAGGGACTGTGAGTGAGAGCACAGGGACTGTGAGGGAGAGCACAGGGCTGTGAGGGAGAGTACAGGGACTGTGAGGGAGAGCACAGGGACTGTGAGTGAGAGCACAGGGACTGTGAGGGAGAGCACAGGGCTGTGAGTGAGAGCACAGGGACTGTGAGGGAGAGCACAGGGCTGTGAGTGAGAGCAAAGGGACTGTGAGTGAGAGCACAGGGACTGTGAGGGAGAGCACAGGGCTGTGAGTGAGAGCACAGGGACTGTGAGGGAGAGCACAGGGACTGTGAGGGAGAGCAAAGGGCTGTGAGGGAGAGCACAGGGCTGTGAGGGAGAGCACAGGGACTGTGAGGGAGAGCACAGGGCTGTGAGGGAGAGCACAGGGCTGTGAGTGAGAGCACAGGGACTGTGAGGGAGAGCACAGGGACTGTGAGGGAGAGCACAGGGCTGTGAGGGAGAGCACAGGGACTGTGAGGGAGAGCACAGGGCTGTGAGTGAGAGCACAGGGACTGTGAGGGAGAGCACAGGGACTGTGAGGGAGAGCACAGGGACTGTGAGGGAGAGCACAGGGCTGTGAGAGAGAGTACAGGGCTGTGAGGGAGAGTACAGGGACTGTGAGGGAGAGCACAGGGACTGTGAGTGAGAACACAGGGACTGTGAGGGAGAGCACAGGGCTGTGAGGGAGAGCACAGGGCTGTGAGGGAGAGCACAGGGACTGTGAGGGAGAGCACAGGGACTGTGAGGGAGAGCACAGGGACTGTGAGGGAGAGCACAGGGCTGTGAGAGAGAGTACAGGGCTGTGAGGGAGAGCACAGGGACTGTGAGGGAGAGCACAGGGCTGTGAGAGAGAGCACAGGGACTGTGAGGGAGAGCACAGGGACTGTGAGGGAGAGCACAGGGCTGTGAGAGAGAGCACAGGGACTGTGAGGGAGAGCACAGGGACTGTGAGGGAGAGCACAGGGACTGTGAGGGAGAGCACAGGGCTGTGAGAGAGAGCACAGGGCTGTGAGGGAGAGCACAGGACTGTGAGGGAGAGCACAGGGCTGTGAGGGAGAGCACAGGGACTGTGAGTGAGAGCACAGGGACTGTGAGGGAGAGCACAGGGACTGTGAGGGAGAGCACAGGGACTGTGAGGGAGAGCACAGGGCTGTGAGAGAGAGCACAGGGCTGTGAGGGAGAGCACAGGACTGTGAGGGAGAGCACAGGGCTGTGAGGGAGAGCACAGGACTGTGAGGGAGAGTACAGGGACTGTGAGGGAGAGCACAGGGACTGTGAGTGAGAACACAGGGACTGTGAGGGAGAGTACAGGGACTGTGAGTGAGAGCACAGGGACTGTGAGTGAGAACACAGGGACTGTGAGGGAGAGCACAGGGACTGTGAGTGAGAACACAGGGACTGTGAGGGAGAGCACAGGGACTGTGAGTGAGAGCACAGGGACTGTGAGGGAGAGCACAGGGCTGTGAGTGAGAGCACAGGGACTGTGAGTGAGAACACAGGGACTGTGAGGGAGAGCACAGGGACTGTGAGGGAGAGTACAGGGACTGTGAGGGAGAGCACAGGGCTGTGAGGGAGAGCACAGGGACTGTGAGGGAGAGCACAGGGACTGTGAGGGAGAGCACAGGGCTGTGAGTGAGAGTACAGGGACTGTGAGTGAGAGCACAGGGACTGTGAGGGAGAGCACAGGGACTGTGAGTGAGAACACAGGGACTGTGAGGGAGAGCACAGGGCTGTGAGTGAGAGTACAGGGACTGTGAGTGAGAGCACAGGGACTGTGAGGGAAAGCACAGGGCTGTGAGGGAGAGCACAGGGACTGTGAGGGAGAGCACAGGGCTGTGAGTGAGAACACAGGGACTGTGAGGGAGAGCACAGGAACTGTGAGGGAGAGCACAGGGACTGTGAGGGAGAGCACAGGGCTGTGAGGGAGAGTACAGGGACTGTGAGTGAGAGCACAGGGACTGTGAGGGAGAGCACAGGGACTGTGAGGGAGAGCACAGGGCTGTGAGGGAGAGCACAGGGCTGTGAGGGAGAGCACAGGGACTGTGAGGGAGAGTACAGGGACTGTGAGGGAGAGTACAGGGACTGGGGCAGGCTGGGTCAGGACCAGGCTGGGTCAGGACCGGGCTGGGTCAGGACCGGGCTGGGTCAGGACCGGGCTGGGTCAGGACCGGGCTGGAGGATGGTACCGTCGGCACATGTTTCAGTGTTAGTGATCCAGGACGGGTCAAATGCAGAGTTCCTACAGGACTAGTACATTCACATGTTTACATTTAACTCACTGTGAATTTGTAAGAACTGTTTTATCGTCTGTGTAAACGCCTCCCCCTCCTCCCCTCTCTTCTCCTCCCCTCTCCCCTCTCCCCCTCTCCCCCTCCTCCCCTCTCTCCCTCTCCTCCTCCCCCCTCCTCTCCCCCTCCCCCTCCTCCCCTCCTCTCCTCCCCCCTCTTCTCCCCCTCCTCTCCTCCTCTCCTCCTCTCTCCTCCTCCCTCCTCCCCCCTCCTCCCCTCCTCTCCTCCCCCCTCTTCTCCCCCTCCCCCCTCCTCTCCTCCTCCCCCCTCCTGCCAGGACTCTGAGGAGCACAGGGACTGGCCTCCTGCTAGGACTCTGAGGAGCACAGGGACTGGCCTCCTGCTGGGACTCTGAGGAGCACAGGGACTGGCCTCCTGCTGGGACTCTGAGGAGCACAGGGACTGGCCTCCTGCTGGGACTCTGAGGAGCACAGGGACTGGCCTCCTGCTAGGACTCTGAGGAGCACAGGGACTGGCCTCCTGCTAGGACTCTGAGGAGCACAGGGACTGGCCTGCTGCTAGGACTCTGAGGAGCACAGGGACTGGCCTCCTGCTGGGACTCTGAGGAGCACAGGGACTGGCCTCCTGCTAGGACTCTGAGGAGCACAGGGACTGGCCTCCTGCTGGGACTCTGAGGAGCACAGGGACTGGCCTCCTGCTAGGACTCTGAGGAGCACAGGGACTGGCCTCCTGCTGGGACTCTGAGGAGCACAGGGACTGGCCTCCTGCTAGGACTCTGAGGAGCACAGGGACTGGCCTCCTGCCAGGACTCTGAGGAGCACAGGGACTGGCCTCCCTGTTCTCCACTTAACCCCACTTTACCTGAAGCCCCCACTGACACCCAGGCTCTTGCACTTAGTATTCATTTAAGAAATGCTGTGGGGAATTTATTCTTATTTTTACATGTTATAAAAGATGACATGTTTGTGACTTCCTGTTTCTCACGATGACAATAAAAATAATTCTTGTTCTGAAACACAAATAGTCTAAGTTCTGAAAACCAGCAGACGCTGAAGAATGTCACCTCCTAAACCCAGAGCCGTCACATTGACTGCCGTGTTAATGAGCGTCAGGTAGGTCATGGTTCAGGTGTCGTGATAAAGCGCCGCACTCTGTAAACAGGACGCGCTTCATTAAAGCGCTGGAGCTTCAGGTGGAACCATCTGTCGCCATGGAAACAGCAGGAGGCAGAACACGAATGCTAATGTCGGAGCAAACATCCAATACTGTATGTGTTCACAAATACTGCCTCAGGCGCAGGCTAATATGTATGCTAATGTACGCTAATGCTAATGTACGCTAATGCTAATGTTGCCGCCGCGGATCTGTCCAAACTGATTTATGAGAAACAACAAAACTCATTATGAACTTCTAATAATTCTACATTCTCTGTTTCTAAAACATGTCAGGACCATGTCCAGGACCATGTCAGGACCATGTCCAGGACCATGTCCAGGACCATGTCAGGACCATGTCCAGGACCATGTCAGGACCATGTCCAGGACCATGTCAGGACCATGTCAGGACCATGTCAGGACCATGTCCAGGACTCACTGGACCATCAGTGTCTGTACCAGTGGGACCATCCTGCCAGACCTCTGAAGCAGTCAGAGCACCAGCCCCTCACTGATCCTCCTGCAGGTGCTGAGTCCACAGGAGCTGAGATCTGTCAGTGGGGGCTTCAGGCAAAGTGGGGTTAAGTGTCTTGCCCAAGGACACAACGACAGCAGTCATCAGTGGGAGTCGTGAAGTAGGTCTTTTTGTGGGCTCGAACCCACGACCTTCAGGCCCAAAGGTCAATGCATGTGTCGTAATTCAATTCAATGTATTTTCTGTGTCGCCCTAAATCTCAGAGACTTTACAAAACTGTTGATTCTCCAACAGCAGATCAGAGAATCAGACCGTTCATAAAGGGCAGACCCACCATCGGTCTAACTCTGTTCAGACTGGGCTCAGACTGGGTTCAGACTGGGCACAGACTGGGCTCAAACTGGGCTTAGACTGGGCTCAGACTGGGCTCAGACTGGGCTCAAACTGGGTTCAAACTGGGCTCAGACTGGGTTCAGACTGGGCTCAAACTGGGTTCAGACTGGGCTCAGACTGGGTTCAGACTGGGCTCAGACTGGGTTCAGACTGGGCTCAGACTGGGTTCAAACTGGGCTTAGACTGGTTTCAGACTGGGTTCAGACTGGGCTCAGACTGGGTTCAGACTGGGTTCAGACTGGGTTCAGACTGAGCTCAGACTGGGCTCAGACTGGGTTCAGACTGGGCTCAGACTGGGTTCAGACTGGGTTCAGACTGGGCTTAGACTGGGTTCAGACTGGTTTCAGACTGGGTTCAGACTGGGCTCAGACTGGGCTCAGACTGGGTTCAGACTGGGCTCAGACTGGGTTCAGACTGGGTTCAGACTGGGCTCAGACTGGGCTCAGACTGGGTTCAGACTGGGTTCAGACTGAGCTCAGACTGGGTTCAGACTGGGTTCAGACTGGGCTCAGACTGGGTTCAGACTGGGCTCAGACTGGGTTCAGACTGGGCTTAGACTGGGCTCAGACTGGGCTCAGACTGGGTTCAGACTGGGCTTAGACTGGGTTCAGACTGAAACAAGACAACTCTTCCATCACGTAAAAAACAAATAAACAAGGCTTATGGGAAAACCAGCCCAGACTTGGTTCTGGACTGTGGCTGACCTGAATCACAAATGCACAGCTTCTTGGACTGTTTGGAAAATTCAGGAACAGCAGTATTTTCTCGTCTGCTCCGTGGGTTAAAGTCTGAGAGAACCTGATTGAAAACCTCCCGCATAGAATCCCTCCTCCCAGTGTTTTCCTGTAATGTAGAATAAGTAAACGGCCTCAGAGAGTGGCCTCCTCCTGGATGTGTTTGTGGTAATGACAAATGCAAACGCCGCACGCATATTTCTCCTTCTAACTGCTCTCAGCGACTGTAAAAGCTTTTGTAAATTGTTTAAAAGTACGTCCGGACCACACAAAGATGCAACCGGCACTTTGCAAACTCCACAGAGAAGCCAGGTTTTGCCGTCAGCCATTTTGAAAGCTTTTCGTTTATGGTCCGTCGCATTAGGTCCAGGATTAATTCTCTGGCTCAGACACAGAGGCGAGGCAGCCCTGGAAGACGCTGCAGAATGACAAACCGATGCACAGGTTGAACTTTTGACCGATGGAAGGAGAAGGCAGTTGTGCACATTGGACGCATGACTGACCGCAGGAGGTGGGGGGCGCCAGATTCTGACTAACCTCTGATTTTGGCGCAATTCTATCTCATCATGGAGCCCGGACTAATGCGTGACACATGGGTCTGCGGGGCCCGCGGTAATCAACTTTCTATGAACTGCACTGTAAAAAATACAACTCAAAATTGTTCACCTTACTAAGATTTTTGCATTCAATGACAATAAAATTGCCAGTTGGAACTGCAACTGTCTGCTGTGAGCCACTTGAACTCACTTTCTGAAGTTTCTGATGAAAAGTTCATCTTATTTGATATATTAAGTTGATTTGACTTTGAAGTTGTAGTGAACTTCTGAAAGTTCAAGTGGCTCACAAGATAGTTCCAGTTCCAACTGGAAATTTTATTGTCAGTGAATGCAAAAATCTGAGTAAGGTGAACAATTTTGAGTTGTCGTTTTTACAGTTCACCGAGCTATAGTGAGGTCAACTTATCTGCGTTTGCTCATTTAAATATGTGTTATGGCAACCAGCTGCATTCAACATTTTGAACAAACTAATTTGACCAAAGAAATCACAATATTTATTTTTACCAACCGTAATCGACAGGGCCAAGCCAAAGTAGCCCTGTATATTCTCTGGGTCAGTCTTAGAAACATTAAAGGTATATAGGAGGATTTTCTACATCCGGGTGGATCATCAAGACTGTTGGTCCTCCCATGTGTCAATCATTCTGGTGATACGTGCTCATCAAATAAGACCAGAGAGTTTTGTTCAAATAGTGAAGAGGGCGATTCTTTCCTGAAATTTGGGAAAATCCTCCTTTATACCTTTAAGTTTCCCCTCTGGTTCACAGTGTGTGCGGCACGGTGGCTGAGTGGATAGCACTCTCGCTTCTTGACACGACGGTCCTGGGTTCGAATCCCGGTCGGAACAGGGCCTTTCTGTGTGGAATTTGCATGTTCTCTGTGTCTGCATAGGTTTCCTCCGGGTGCTCCGGTTTCCCCTACCCAAGTGACCTTGGTCCATGAAATGCGCTATATAAATAAACATCATGATCTTTTAATGTGGGGGCTAATTTAAACTCAAAATAGTAAGTTATTGTAGGGGACAGTAATCTGAACTTAAAAAAGTAAGTTTTTACAGACTTGAAATTTCCAGTAACTTGAATTTAAACACTTAGTTGGCAGAACTTGGAAAACTTAACTGACACAACTTAATAAGTGTAGTTCTTCAAAACTTGAAGAATTAAGTTAATGCCTTCAACTCAAAAATCCTTCGCAGCTGGTTGCTTTGAAATTTTGAGTTGAACTAACTTTTTCTTTTTTACAGTGTGTCCAGAGTTAGCCTGGTCTTATCCATCCGTACTCTCCGCTCGATCATTTCACTGCATGTAACGTCTGGGTCTGGTCCCTGTGTTTGTGATTACAATCGGTTGAATTTCGACCGACCAATCAGAGAGCGCGGGAGGCGGGTGTTGTAGTTAGATCTCGGTGACGTCAAGAGTTTGCGTCAAACGGGAAGGGGGTAGTTTGGCGAAGAATGCGATAGTAAAGTAATCCGGTCTGGTTCTGTCAAGAAACTGAAGCTGGAGCAAGAAGAATGTTTAGCAAATGTAATCGCTGGCAAAAATTGTGGCACTACTCCCCACGGGCTACGTTAGCGGCAAAGAAGATGGCTAAAGCTAGGCTAAACGCTAAATGCTAACAACAGACTCGGGCTCATTACATACGTCACAGTAAACTCAGATTCAATGGTTTCACTCTGCAAAAGGAGTTAGCCCCTCCCACCTGTTCACGGAGTCAACGGAGACAATCCAGACCTTAGTATGAAATGTAATTTGTACTATGGTGTGGTAAGACCAGGCTAGTCCAGAGCACATGCGGCCGATCTTTCACCTTTAAATCAAACCAATGCATTTGTACAAAGCTGGAAACCACATCAGCGTCGTCTTGGATGAGTTTATAAAGTTGTAGATTCCTCAGCAACAGATTAGAGAATCAGAGAGAACAGAGGAAGCCGTTGTTCATAAATGTGAATGAATATCCTTACAAAACAGCTATTGTTCACTTCTCCTGTGCTGTGTGCTCCTCTCTCCTAGCGTTTTGTAACTTGTAATGCAACACTGACATTTCCTCACTGTGGGACAAATAAATGATCTCTCTTAATCTTAATCTTAATCTAAAAATCCTGAAAACAAGAGGGAATTATACGGTGCATTGAAAAAGTGTTGTCAAAGTAACATTTGGACACTGAGCGTATTTCCCAGCCGCCCTCCACAACGTCAGGCTTGAGGCTCTTTGGATTGTCCTCATGTCCTGGGTCTATGGCCTGTGTTCTGTGGGCGTGGCGTTGGTGGGAGGGGCCAATGACACAGCCTCTGTGTGATGAGTCTTCAGGAAAGCTCTGTATAAAACCAACACATTATTGTTATTATTATTATTATTATTATTGTTATTGTTATTGTTATTATTATTATTATTATTATTATTATTATTATTGTTATTGTTGTTATTGTTATTATTATTATTATTTACTGTTATTATTGTTATTATTGTTATTATTATTATTATTATTATTATTATTACTATTATTATTGTTATTATTATTGTTATTATTATTATTTTTATTATTATTATTATTATTGTTATTATTGTTATTATTATTGTTATTATTATTATTATTATTATTATTATTGTTATTGTTATTGTTATTATTATTATTATTTATTGTTATTATTATTATTATTATTATTAGTAGTATTATTATTATTACTATTATTATTGTTATTATTATTGTTATTATTATTGTTATTATTATTGTTATTATTATTGTTATTATTATTATTATTATTACTAATATTATTGTTATTATTATTATTATTATTTTTAGTATTATTATTATTATTGTTATTATTGTTATTATTATTGTTATTATTATTATTATTATTATTATTATTACTATTATTATTATTATATATTATTGTTATTATTGTTATTTTTGTTATTATTATTATTATTAATATTGTTATTATTATTGTTATTATTATTATTATTGTTATTATTATTATTTTTATTATTATTATTGTTATTATTGTTATTATTATTGTTATTATTATTATTGTTATTATTATTATTATTATTATTATTATCATTATTATTTCTTATTATTAGATTCTAAAGACACTGATGGTCCTGAATATGAAAGAACATGTATCTCAGGGTCAGGGTTTGTACATTCAATATTTAACCAGAAAGGACGACCAACAAATCCATGAGTTCAACATTTAATTAAATACTAACACAAGACTCGACAGGTCTGGGTCTGGTCTGGTCTTGAACTCGGGTCCTGGTCTAAGTCTGGGTCTGGGTCTTTCATAATGTTGTAGATAGATATAATAAAAGTGCTCTGTACCGTGTCATCTGCTCCCATCGCTCCGTGTCTTTGTCTTCCTCCCATTTCCTCTGTTCAAACTGTTTGCTTCTCTAATCTGCTGTTGGTGAATCCACAACTTCGTAAAGTCTTCTGAGACTTTGCTGCTGTGATTTATGGATTTACACAAATACGAAGAATTGAAATGATGTCACATAACCCTGGTAGTCTACGATCGTGCGGTGTAGGTCCAGGCACATGCACAGACTTATCCCATCGACGCTCTCCCTGTGGGACTGTCTTCTCTATGATCAGCCCTGTGGATAACCACAGACCTGGACGGCGGCCATCTTGCGCCTGGACATAATGTAGTGATTCCCTGGTCTTCATCTCGGAGCGGGTGATTAGAGGCTTAGATCCATCTGCCTAACGACGAGACGGGATCAGATAAACCAGCAGTGAAATGTGCTGCTGAACAAAAACAGGCTAATTCTCCAAAGCCCTCCTCAGAGACCTGTGACCGGCCCCGGCTGAAAACTACCATTGGATTCTCTTTAGTCTGGGGATAATTGGTCAAACGACTGCGATGAAAAGAGGAAGCCACGATGCAGGACTGAACAGAAGTCTAATTTAATTATATAAAACCAAATTGAATATAACACTGAAACGTAAAAAGATCCAGGCCCAAAACCAAGCCATAGACAGTGGGAAAAGCACGGGGTGTAAATACACAGGGATTATATTAGGATTTAGGGTGCAGAGATTAGAGTCTGGCAGGATCTTAGAGTTTGTGGTGAATTCTCCGAGTTTCCGCAGAAAGAAGAGACGCTGATGAGCACGTTCAAAGGAAAGCGACTGCATTAAAAGAGCCAGCACGAGCTCCTTAGCAACCGTTGTCAAGACCAAAATTGAGACACACGCACACACACACAGGTGAAAAATAAACGTTTTCCGACATAGAACTTGTGAATTTTACTAAATAAAAATGTGAATTAACGTAATCCAACATCGAGCCATAACACACGTTCTTACTGCAAACTCACCATGAAACTGCACAACACAATAGTAACTTCCATTGGGGGCCCAGAGGGAGGTCTCTCTGCTCCTCTGGGACCACGCTGACCTCCTCCCTCTGCTCCTCTGGGACCTCGCTGACCGCCTCCCTCTGCTCCTCTGGGACCTCCCATGCTGACCTCCTCCCTCTGCTCCTCTGGGACCTCGCTGACCGCCTCCCTCTGCTCCTCTGGGACCTCCCATGCTGACCTCCTCCCTCTGCTCCTCTGGAACCACGCTGACCTCCTCCCTCTGCTCCTCTGGGACCTCCCATGCTGACCTTCCTCTGCTCCTCTGGGACCTCCCATGCTGACCTCCTCCCTCTGCTCCCTGGGACCTCGCTGACCGCCTCCCTCTGCTCCTCTGGGACCTCGCTGACCTCCTCCCTCTGCTCCTCTGGGACCTCGCTGACCGCCTCCCTCTGCTCCTCTGGGACCTCCCATGCTGACCTTCCTCTGCTCCTCTGGGACCTCCCATGCTGACCTCCTCCCTCTGTTCCTCTGGGACCTCGCTGACCGCCTCGTCACTATATTAGTGACGAGGCTAATATATATATCATGTATATACTATACATGATATATACATGACTATATATTAGCCTCATCACTATATTAGCCGTGTCACTATATTAGCCTCGTCACTATATTAGCCTCATGACTATATTAGCCTCGTCACTATATTAGCCTCATCACTGTATTAGCCTCATGACTATATTAGCCTCGTCACTATATTAGCCTCATCACTGTATTAGCCTCATGACTATATTAGCCGTGTCACTATATTAGCCTCGTCACTATATTAGCCTCATGACTATATTAGCCGTGTCACTATATTAGCCTCATGACTATATTAGCCGTGTCACTATATTAGCCTCGTCACTA